CGGCCGGGATTAATGACTCGAGTCCAGCGCCAAGAGCAGCTCCATCCTCCCTGGGGAAGGGTGAGAGCTGCTGCCTGACACCCGCTCCTCCTCCTCCTCCTTCAGCCGAAAGGCAGCACGCTGAGCCCCGCGCCTGGCTCACAGATACCACAGGGAGCCGGGTGAGGAAGGGCATGCCCTGGGACTTACTCTGTGCCAGAAGTTTGGCCACGCTGCCCTGGTTGGTCTCCTGGCTCTCCTGGGTCTTGCTGGCCAGCTGCTTGTTTGCCGATTCCAAACGCTCTAGTCCAAAGGAAATTAAACCAAGTTAAGATTTAAATAGAAGATTTTGGCCAGAGGAAGCTGGAGAATCCTGGAAAGACCCAGGGGAAAAATCCAGGGGACAGAGAGCATCCACCTTTCAGGTCCCGGTTGAAGTCCTGGAGCCGTCGCATCTCCCCATCTCTCTTGTTCCTCATGGCTTTCTCCAAGGCTTCCCGCTTAGAAGATGCCTTGACGAGGTTTTCGTAATCCTCCGAGATGCGTTGGATCTCGCTCTCCAGCTGGGGTGGAGGAAGGGACAGGCAGGGGTTAGATATTCATGGAATGAGGAAAGGAAAAGGAGATGTTGGCCAAAGCTCATCCACAGCACTCAGCCCAACCCAAGCTGCCAGTGGAGCTCAGTGCACCCATGGGACCCTCTGGGCTGACCCCCAGCACACATTTTGGGGGGAAAACTAATTTTTTCTGCCCTTCTTCTTGCAGAAGAGTCCCTTAGCAGGTTTTTGGCTCTGCTGAAGCCCAGCCGGAGGGGAACAGCCACCACTTGTGTGCGGCTGCACAAAGGGCTTTCTGTGGCAGCAGGGGATCCGGAGGACAGGCAGAGGGAGGGGGTCTCTGGAGAATGGGCTCCTTCTCCCCCATCCCGGCTGCCATGCCACCAAAATGCAGCTGCTCGGAGTGGAACAAGCTGCCAGAGGAAGGGGGAGAACGGATTAAAACACTGAAGGGGGTGAATTTTCAGAGCAGCTGGTTGAGCATCCCCCCAGACAGGGGCACACGATGCCACGGCCGCCGCCACCGTTCACTCACCTTCTGGATGCGGCTCGCCTTCTCACCCCAGCTCTCCAGCTCCCGCCGCAGCTTCTCGCTCTCCCGCTGGAGCCTCTCATTCTCCCGCAGGACTGCGTCCGCCCGGGCCAGGCGGCTGCCGGCTGACACTGCCTGGGCGCTCACCAGGGCCTCCACACCAGTGGGACCCAGCGTGCCCGGGCACAGGGCACCCGTTGGCGGTAGGAAAGCGGTGGGGAGGTGGGTGTGCAGCATCCTGCAGGGAGGAAGGAGAGGGATGCTCCAGGGGCTTGGCAGGGCAGCAGAGCTGACTGCATCTCCAGCATCTACCAGCCACCCCAAACCCCCAGGACAAGGAGGTACCAAGTACCTTCGGATGGTCCCAAAGGAGAAGAGAAGCTCTGGGAAGGGCCTACCCTGCTTTTCAGAGCTGGGAAGTATTTGCTTTCTAAAAAATGCTTGTCCAACTGCCCTCAAACACAAGATAAACCCCATCTCGCAGGGATGTCTTGACCTGACAACTCCAGGACATGGCTGGGGGGTCAGGATGGGCTCCAAGCCCCCCAGACCCACTGTATTGCTGGAGATGCTGCAGATGGATGACTGCTCAGCAAAGGACACGCCTCAGAAGACATCAGAGCTGCCCCTTCTCCTCATTTCTGTGGCAAAGCAAGGGCTCCTGGCATAGCTCCTCACCACCAAACTATTAATATATTCTCACTGTATTTGGAGGAGCAGGGTCAGCCCAGCTTCCCCTCACCCAACCACTCTGAGTTCCTCGACAACCCACAGGCCACCTCGAATACCCCAAGCTGGGCGGCTGTGTATGGCCCAACCCTGCTTCACCACGGGCTGCCCGCCAAGGGCCCACATTCCTGCGGGATGATATAGGAGCGAGGAAGAACAAATACATCTTCCTCGCGGCTCCCCTTCCCCTCTTTGTTCCCGCTAAGGAGAAGGTTTTCCTGCCGGAGATGCTATCGTGTTCCGCCTGGATAGGTCAACAGGGCTGGGAGCAAGCATGCGTCCTCCCATTGAGCCTTCAATTCCCTTCTTCCCATCCTTTTCCACACTGGAAGAACTTGCTTCCAGCCCTCCCCAAATGCCAGGCAAGGCCTGGCCCTCCAGCCTCCCCAGACCTCTCCATGGCCCTCAAAGATACGCTGGGGCCTTGCCAAAGGCCTCAAGCTGCCAAAGGGAAGAGCAGAGCTGCCCAGCACTGCTCATCGTCCTCACAAGCCACCCAGCACCAGCTCAGTCTCAGCTCGGCACCAGTCCCACCACACCAGCACCATGCCAGAGCTACGTGAACATACCCACCTCAGGACCACAGGGTGGGTTTCTACGGATCAGGGAGCACATTTTCCTTCCACCCTGCCCCATGCCTGCTCCACATTTAGCCATTTCCTGAGCTGGTTCCAGCTCCTAAATTAACCCCAAATTCCTTGCAGTGCATGTGGAGGGGGCAGGGTCTGCAGAGACAGGAAGATTTTCATCACCACTTGGAAAAAACCGACTGGGCTGGGGGAATCTGGGGAGAGCAGAGGACTGAAGGGGTGCCCACGGATCCCCATGGGCTGGGTCTGATCCAGCACCACAAGGGCAAGGAGTTGGCAATGGCTGTCCCAGGCCCTCCACTGCTCTCTGCGTCCTGCATTCATCCCAGCTGCTCCTGGGGCACAGTGGCAGGGATGCATCTGGTGGGAACCCCAAAAGCAGGGACCAAGGACCCATAAGTTACCTGATTTCAGGATGCTGAAATCCAGAACCTTCCCGGGAGCAGGGTCGGGGTTCAGCCACGTAAGCATCTTGGGAAGGGACGATGTAGGGATACTCTGGAGGTGGTCCCCGTGGCTCCAGCCCCTCGGGGTGCTGCCCTCGGAGGGCAGCGAGCTGGTGGTGGCGGGAGAGCTGGGGGTAGCTGTGGGAGGCGCTGATGGGGCTCTGCGCCTTGGCCCCATTCCTCTCCAGAGACATCCGCA